AAATGGGCAAAACAGAAGAACATATCGTTTTAGGAGTGATGCCAGGAAGACGGCTTTACTGGGCTTTCAGGAGGGTTTGATTGAAGCGAAGCGTGAAGATGTGGGAAACCTTCCGCCCACTGCTAGGCATGGTGGAGGAGCTGTGATGGGCTGGGCCTGAAAACCTTGTTATAGGGCATCATGTTAACCTGTTTATTACCAGAACAATGGGTATGGTGGATTCTACATAGGGCTGGGTATTGTTCAAAAATTTTCGGTTCTGGTACCAATACCGATACCTTCACTTCGATACCGGTTCCTGAACGATACTTTTTTTGATACCAGTTTTATAATATCAATTCGAAGAAAATTACACAACATAAAAAAGTACAAATCTTAAGTTTTATTTTAAGCTCTGATTTTTCCATTTACATTTTTCCTCTTACATGAGAACAAAAAAATCTGTGTCTAATATTCACTGTTACATTGTGAGGACCTTTTTACTTAGCAGTTTTCCTTTAGAAAAATGACCATGTCTGCTTTCTTAGGAGACAAACAAGCCCGTTGAATGGGATCCTATTGACAGCGCACCGCTGGTATGTGGGGGTCTGAGCGGCTCCGACAGAAATATTGGAAGGCAGGATGAACTGACTGCACTGATTAAGTTTTCAGGTGGATTTTCCCACTTAAAAACATAATAAAACTACTTTATTCCCACTGATCACAGTAAATATAGCTGCAAGGCAAATAAAGGATAGAGTAGCTCCACCCAACGCACGTCAGATCCACTTTTCGACCGCGCAGCCAGAGCAGCAAACTGCTTCAGCCGCGCGTCAGAAGCCGGTACAAGCAGCAAAAAAGGAAGCAGCAGACGTGATTTTGCTGCTCCTGCTGCGTCCGGTTTGAAAGCAGCATGATTCACTCCGCTCTGGCTTTGCTCTGCCTACGGGCTGCTGAGAGGAGGATGGTCACGCCGGCTGCGGTCCGCTCTTCTTGCAGTTAAACACCGAGCAACTTTCTGCTCTTAAATTGTTTCCGTGCACGATGTATTGCATTGCGCACTATTGGCATCAGTCTTAATAAAGTGAAGCCACACTTTTGACCTGGGGGGCATTTTAAAGGGGTTCCACAACGCTCGCAACCAGTTCACAACAGATACACATGAACCCTGGCTGTAGGCGTGACCACCTGTGTATTTTTCCTGGATGATGCAATCACGTTAAGTGTTACAGCCAATCACCGAAACTCAACACCGAAAGACGAGGCATGTTTCGATACTCTGTAGAACCGAAGCATTTCGGTCGGTACCATAAAAGAACCAAAGTTCGGTACCCAGCCCTAATTCTACAGCTGAAATGGATCATTGTTGGATCTTTTAGCAGGATATTGATCAATTTTCATATTGTTTTTTGTAAAAAAATGTCAAGAGTTTTGAATTACTATGAAATAACTTCAGATTAAAAGATAAAGATTACTTGCAAGTTAGAAA